ACACGCTATATCAACTTTTCTATTGTTCAACATTGATGCCAATTCTCTCGTCTTACCTTTAAGCGTCCCAATATTCAAACTTGCCAGTCTTGTCTTCCACATCAGTCATCGAAGAAAAACTTGAAAGTTTTTATGGTTCTTACCAGGATTGAACCCGCGTCCTTGTTCATACTCGTGTTTCCAAGCCTACATCTTACCCATTAGGCCACCCCGGCGATATTTAAGAAATTAAATTTAGAATATTAAATTAACATAATGATTGTCAATATTTTTATATATGATAAAATGAAGATTTTTTTATCATTTAGAATTTATATTAAGTCAAAATGTAAAATTTAAAAAAGTTACTTTGGGTATGTTGAAACTTAAATTTGCATTTAAAATTTTTCATCAGCAATTTTGTCCGAAACAATTTTGGACCTACTTAAGCACCTTATTATAATACATATTTGGCTTAAATTTCAAATCTTAAACTTTATTAATTTTTAAATTATTTGAGAAGGAAATACCTACCCCGGGAACACACTTATCCCCGGTCTCCCCTATTCGAATCGAATTGATTATCATTTATAATATATGATTTTGGCCAGTATAAGTGTTGAATATTTCTGCAATAATAGACACTTGAATAATTTTAGTTAGATTAATTTATTGCTGTAATATAGTCAATTAATTTTTGATAATATATGAAGAGTTTTAATGAAACGCGAAAGTGAGAATAAAATAAATTACGAATCAAAAATATTGAGGATTGTAAACATGAATAAATTAAAATGAAACGAGTTAGATTTCAGGCACCAGTATTGAACTCAAGTTCTTTAGGATTCAAGAATTTAAAATTTTTTTTTAGAAATGATAAAATATAACAAAAAACGAGTTGATAAACAAGTCATGAATCGATTTATAAATTTTATTTCGATGTAACTAATATCTTAAAAAAAATTTAATCTAAAAACTTATTGCACTTTTCCTCGTTTAAAATGCCAGAAGTAAATTTTTGGTAATAATCTTATTATTACCCAATTATTTAATTCTTTAACGTCTAAAGTCTTTTTGCAGAGGCTGTTGGGGTTTTTTTTGAAAAGATATCACAATCAACGCGAAAAAAATTATACTTTTATTAATGATTAGCTATTTTATACGGCACCGACATAAATTGAATCGTAGCAAATTTTAATGTCGTAATTAGTAATAAATAAATAATAGATGTCGTAAATGAATATACCTGTGTAACCTGGCCTGGATTTTTTAGCTTTGATTATTTAAGGCACCCTAAATTTTCAGAATTTCGTTATTTTGAATAATTTTGGCTATATTTTATTAATTGTTTTATACGGAATTTATGAGCAGTAAATTAATATTAAATGCTTCATGATTTTACAGCGGATTAAAATATAATTATTCTTAAAAATCATCTAGGATTTTGTAAAAAAAAATATATTTAGGCCTGGTGTACCATTTGAAACTGTTGTTTAATATTGACTGCTGCCCTTCTACTAAGGGCAGTTATTTAATAACATGCGCAACCGTTATAAAACGAGCTGCCATAATTTTTTGAATTCAAAACCATTGGTGATCCCTTATTTGATCGAAAATCGATGTTTAAAAATATGGATAAATTGATTTCGATTGTTAATAATATCCATTTTTCGCTTCAAAAACATTGACGGCCATTTTCTATAAAAATTAATGTTTGAAAATGACTTGGATTAATATGACTGCGATTAATATATGATTGGTAATAAATTAAGTTCTTGTTTCGAAAATATTGGAGGTCATTTTTAAATACAAATTGATGTTTTTGGAATTAAAATGAGTGTGATTAATGCCAGGAAATTTCAGAAGCAATAAATCCTATCCCTCCTTCAATTAGGTGTTATTTTATAATACAATTCAAATAATAAAAAAAATAAATCCTTAATATCAAAGTAAAATAAATGTAGTAAAATTGTTATAAGGATAAATTATGATAAGGGGGGTAAAATAAATGGGGGGGGGGGCAGGGCTATTCGCAAGGAGCTGTTTAGAAATGCAAATTTAATAATGTAATAGCATTCTATTTGAGGCAAAAAATATTTTATTCCCTTATTTATTTATGAGAAAATGTGATTTTTAGGTAAAAATTAAAATGTTTTTAGACCATAAAAATATGAAGAGCTTAAAAATAATTAAATTGACATTATATGATATTAAAAAATTTCTTTTCACATTTCAGAAAGTAGTCACAGTGGCGTAACTAAGAATTTTCCTTAGAGGGGATCCATACATATAAAAGCCTGGGGGGCGTCTTACAAATCATAAGCATATCTTCGATAATATATAATAAATATTCCAAAATATATCAATAGTAATATAATATCCTTCCACAAACATCAAAACCAGAAAAATATAAATATTAATGGTATTTATTTGATATAAAGTCACTTTTAAGTCTTTTGAACGTATAATCTAAAAAAATTTTTGCTCTGGGAGGGGTCCAAACCCGAAAATCACCCCCGTAGCTACGCCACTGCATAGTCATCTGTTTAAAAATATTTTTTGGAACAACTTACAAAATATTAAATTTGAACTTAATACACATATCATCTCTATTGAAACAGGAGTTCTTTTAATATGGCATTTATTATTTTTAAATTTAGCAATGTTAAAATTTAAAAAGGATATGATTTTATGTTTTAAAGCTATAAAATTAATAATTTTGACGATTACAACAGATTTAATAAGATGGATGTTTAACCAATGCAATGTTCCCCTTCACATTTAATCTTATTTATAAATTTATATGCCTCCAGATATGGCTGCAGGGGGGGGGGAGGAGTTGTATCTATATGATTGCACTTATTTTTTTTAAAATATTTATGAAAAATTAAAATTATATTATATTTATTATAGATAAAAATATAACTTTTTACTATATTAAAAAGAAAAAATTATCAACTTGTTTCTTTTTGCGCAGGAAAGGGTTAATCATATTAATAATTAGATGCTTAGTAGAATAAAGGCTAGTCGAATCAATTAAATTATGCTTAAAATATGATATAATAAGTATTCATTGGCTACTATAATGGTTTAAATTAATAATATATGATAAACAATAGAAGAAAAAAATAAAAAAAATTCATTAAAAATTTAAACATTTTTTAAAATTAATAAAATGTCATATTTTGACATTTTTATATGAATTATTTATATTCAAATGGTGTATTATATCAATAAAAGATAGTTCATAAAAAATGGAATAATAATTATCTTATAGGAGACTTAATAAACCAATGGAATCTACAAGCCCCTGGTTTGGGGCTTGTTGGGGAAAAAATTAACTTTTACTAGAATCAATCTTGAGAAAAAATATAAAATATTTATTAGTGTATAACTTTAGGAAAGCGTTTGTTCGACTATCTCATGGTATTATAAATTCAAATACAACAATTATTTTGAGGCGTATGATGATTTTGACAAAAACGCCGACTAGCCCTAATCCCTACTATTAGAAGAAAGTTGATATGAGATCAAAAATTAATTATTTACCGGGTGGCTAAAAAACGTCGCGTTTTGAAATCTTTACCCTAAAACGCGACATTCGTTTTTTTAATGATTGTGTCTACTTAATATTCTCAAAAATTTAAATGTCTTTTTAGAAAATTAAAATAAAAAAAAACACTCATCTTTTTAAAAATTTCTCTAGATCATAAACTATAACACAAAATATTTTGGTATTATCAGAATCTCATTATTAAATGCCACTAACAATATAAACATACGATAATTTTGTAAATTAAGTATTTTATCAAGAGAAAAGAAAAATTGGAGTGAAGTTTAATTCCTGAATTCTAGGAAAAAGTGGAATATTCGTCCAGTTCAACAAGCTTTAAAGTGACTTCAAATTACGGCATATAGAGGAAAATTATCAAGGTTACAACCTTTTGTATCTTACAAATTTGAAAGGTATGGCCCTTAATTTCGCCATAAATAATCTAATTGGCGTTTATTGTTAAGTGTGATACAAGAAAAAAAAAGGATAGATTAATTACATTAATTATATTTATTATTTTATAATTATATGGATCTCAAAGTATGCTTTGTATTTAGCATTATAATTTAAAATTAAGAAAAAAAAGACGTCCGCTATAGATCAACATAATGGGAAAACGTCTAGCCCATTTTTAAATAAATAAAAATAAATGAAGGTCTTAGTTATTTTTTGTCAAATATTATTTAATTTTATAAATTTGACTTAATCTAATTAATAAAAAAAATTGTGGATACTAAATTCAATATATTTTTTAATAAAATACGAAATTTCATAAATAGCAAGTAACATGTTTTAGTTATAAAAATTTAAAAAGTCTACCTTGAATAAATAACTCAATTAGGCTGGTTCTCCGATTTTTTGAAAAAGGTTTGAACTTTCTAAATGAGTTACAATATAATTTAGAGTCTAAATAATTTCCTTAATGAAATAGAGATCCGGTGGAAAAATATTATCGGCCAGGAACTTACAAAAGGTAACAAATTTAAGGTTTCCGATATATTTGAAAAATAATAACATTAATGATGAACTATTTATTAGAAAGTAAGCGGATAAGTAGCAGAGAATTTTAATACTTTATTTTAATTATATCAACTATTTATCAAATATAATTGCATACGTAAAAAAGCATTGCTGTAATGCATTACGATATTGCATTCGCGATAATACATTAGCTGTAGTGCATTCGCGATAATAATTTTACGGTAATGCATTCGCGAATAGATTCACTATGAGGCATTCGCGGTAATGCATTCGCGATAATATTTTCGCTATAATTCATTCGCTCCAATGCCTTCGCGATAATGTTTTCGCGGTAATGCATTTGCTATAACGCATTCGCGTTACTGTTTTCGCTATGATGCATTCGCTATAATATCTTTTCGCGGTATTGACGTGATACGGAATTTTATAACCCAATAAAGATATTTTTGATGTTAATATTAAGAAAAACAAAATTATAATAATTTACTTTAGCACAAACACTTGCAACACTTACTATCACATAAATGTCATCAGCTTTCTTAGATACAACTATTTTACCAATTTTTGTTTTAGGAAAGATTTTTCGTAATTTTTGCTGCAATTTTTCGGGAGGGCCTATGGTATCCACATATAACTAGATGAATTAAATAAAAAAATATGAAAGATTTTATCAATATTTATTATTATTCAAAAACGAATATGAATCAAATAATTGATTATTCCTATTAGATTCCAATTATTTAAACAATTCTTTTTTATGTAAAAATATATTGATAGAATTTTTATTTTCTATTGCACTAATTATGTTATTAAGTTTAAATCTGAGTTGTACGCCCTAAAATGGAATCTAAGTTTATCTGGTCCAAATATCAGATAAGAAATGAACCAAATATGCATCGATACTGATAACAACATGGTATCAACCGATACCAGGTATCAATACCCAATATCAACGAAAAACTTAATATAATCTATTTATTGAAAAAAAAGAAAAGGTATAACATCAATACTCATTTTTTATTTATTTATATATACAACTAATTAATTTTTTATAGATTCACTGCATAATGTAGACTAATTTTATTTATATTCCTATTGCGTATTCTGTTGTATTTTTCTTTTCAAACCCGCAATTAGAGGAAATCATAATTGACTATCAATGGCTAGACACTCCTAGTCAAAATCTTGGCACATATCTATCCCCAAAATATTGATCTAGCCCAAAGCAGAGCCATATAGAAGGATAGGATATGTTTTAAAGGCCCAACTAGTTTTAGGATTAACATGCTGAAGAAGATATAATTAAAGTTTTTAATTTCAATGGATAATCATGTTACCAATTTAGAGATGAATGATTATCTAGACATTCTAATTTATGTCAAGACCATTACACACCCATAAAAGATAATAATTTTCAGAATGTGTTAATCAAATCAATGAATAAAAATTGTATATTACTAAAATAAAAATTAGCTATAGAAACACATTCAATATTCCAAAATTGGAACAGAACCAGGAATGCAAAATGTATCTGTTCCAGGTCCCTGTTTTATATATTCTACTATTCTAGGTAAATAAAATAGTTATAAGTTATTATATTTTTAGTCAATCAAGCATAAAATTACAAAATAAACTTTTGCCAAAAATAACAACAAATTTACTCTTTCTGGTATTAAATATAAAAAAATCTTTATTTTAGAAAAAAGAACATAATCTATAAGCTATTAAATGATTCTATATTAGGGTCATTCCATGTCAAATCAATCACTTTTCGGCCGATCCCTTTCGATTTCGATGAAAAATCGTAGGCTGGTTATATATGTTCCCATTAGATTATAAACAAAATTTTAGCGGATTGGCAACTATATTAGCGGAGATATTCGGGGTTAAAGGTCTAAAAAACGTCTTTTTTTGCTTTTTACTGATGTTAAATAACTAGTTTTTAATTTTAAACTAAATATGATCAAATATTGAATATAATATCAATAGCTAAGTTAATAATTTATGATTATGGCGAAAACATCAAAATTAATTTTTGATAAAATATGGGTCATCTTATGGTCAGTTGAAAACTTGAAATTAATATTTCGAAATGTATATAATCTCCGATTTTTAATTTTTTTAAGAAATATTATCTGTTTACTATTTTTTTAATAATTTCTTCAACAATTAGCATGGCTGGATATTTATTTTAAAAAATATTGCGCTTTTAAAAAAATAGATGGCGCTATATATAATAGTTTTAATATGTTAAAATTCATTTTTTTTATTGAAATATTTTAATGTATATATATCATACTAAATCGATTACAATGTCCATTATATATATTTATTTGTAATTCAGATCATAAATTTTTAAAATCTTCACAAATTTAGCCTAATTAAGATAGTTATAAATTAATTAAATCTTACTTCATCTAAAGGAATACAAAGCCCGGCTAGCTTGTGAGATTTATTCAGGAGATAATATATATGTTTGACTGGTGGGAGTAGAAGGATTGACCAGCGAGAGAATATGAGATTTAGGCAACACAAAAATATCATCTTTCAGAGGAAATTTAAATGAGGCTGAAGGTCCACAAGGCTATAAAAATCGGATTTTTACTTCTTCATTTATATCATTTTTATCGATTATATATCCTAACCACCATTATATACACATGTTATATATCCATTAATATTTTAAAAATTAATTTTCTCATTTAAAAACTAAACTTGTTTTATATTATATTTTTTGGAATTGGAATATATTTTGGTTTTTAGTCTATTTTGATCAATGGGAATAACCCCGTGATTTTTTTGGGTCCCATGTATAAGCAGTGCATTAAATCTTTTACGAAGGGCTAATTCCTCTTCGATATATTCTTGATTGGATACATATTCAAATTGAATTCCATTAATATTTTCTTTAGCATAATTATATAATTCTAATGAGGTTAGGATTTGATTTTTATTTGGCCTTTGAAGACTAGCTCTGGCAACTAATCTTTTGATAGTTCCTCCGATACAGTCACTTGCATTTTTGCCGTGAGCAGTGGCAAAGAAATGCCATTCGGCAGGAATATTAAAATCGTATTTATGAAGGCATATGTTCAGAAAAATTTTGCGATTCTTGTATTGAGATGCGGCTTCATCTGAAAAATATATTATTTTTTCTGGTTTAGAATTAAATTTGGATAAAATAACAAAATTTATATTTTTTAATTCTTCTCCAGATTTATATGCTACAAATGGATGTATAGTGGCTTGCACGTTGTTCCAATGAAATCCCTGAACTTCATCTTGTAAAATGAAGGAATAATTCTCAGAATAATCTAGAATTGTTAAAAATTCCCCATCTTTTAAATTTTTCTACATTTGTCATTAATTTCACATTCTGATGAATGGCGCAAACACAAACAGTGTGTATGCCACTAGCTCCAACTAAAATACAGTTTTTTGGTCTAAGTTCGGCAAATTTAGAGAATCCAATTGATATATTTGGGTATTCTTCCTTAAACAACTTGAATATTTATTTAAGCTTATTTAATATAAGTCTTTGGACTGATTCTTTCTCGCCTTTAACAGATCACAATCTTTTATTCCAGGCATGAGTCGGCTTATTTCATCAGAACTATAATTTTGTTTATTTTTATTGCTTAAAATTTTTTTCAAAATCTTCGAAATTTTCTTTATCTCTGGTTATTTTAATAATTTAAGATAATGACAATTTCATAACATTCTTGATCTTGATGGGTATGACTTAGTCTGGGGGGTGGAGGGTTGGGGGTAGGCCTGGTAATTAATGTGATTTTCGATTTTTCCCTTAATAATTTTCCTGCACACCTTTAATCCTGCTTTTTTGTTAGTGTGCTAGTCGGATTTTTCAATTATTTTTAATTTACATTGAAATATTAAAAAAATTATTAAAATTTTATATCCTCCGAATATCTCAGGGTAATAAGGTTTACAAAGTTATATAATAGAATTTTATGATATATTATACATTAAAATATTTTTAATCAATAAGAAAAATGAATTTTAACATATTATAACTATTATATATAGCGCCATCTATTTTTTTTAAATAATAAAAATCGCAATATTTTTTTAAATAAATATCCAGCCATGCTAATTGTTGAAGAAATTATTAAAAAAATAGTAAACGGATAATATTTCTTAAAAAAATTAAAAATCGGAGATCATATACATTTCTAAATATTAATTTCAAGTTTTCAACTGACCATAAGATGACCCATATTTTATCAAAAATTAATTTTGATGTTTTAGCCATAATTCTCAATTATTAACTTAGCTATTGATATTAGATTCAATATTTGATCATATTTAGTTTTAAATTAAAAACTAATTATTTGACATCAGTAAAAAGCAAAAAAAGACGTTTTTTGGACCTTTAACCCCGATTATCTCCGCTAATATAGTTGCTAATGCGCTAAAATTTTGTTTATAATCTAATGGGAACATATATAACCAGTCTACAACTTTTTATCGAAATTGAAAGGGGTCGGCCGAAAATCTTGATTTTTTTGCTCATTTGACATGGAATAACCCATTAACCAAAAACAAACTATATTGTAAAGTAATGAATTGGTATATTTTAACCAGGCTGAAAATGATTTTTTTATAATTCAGGAATTTTTTTAAAACCTTGTCCAGGCTAAAAAAAATTTAAAAAAAATAATATAGGGAGGCTTGAAAATATAATACCTGGGCTGGGCAAGGTGGTCATTCATATCTCTGCAAGTCTCTAAATAATATATTTAGTTAAATTTGATAATTAAAGCAGAAGTAAGCAAATAATAATCGGAGTCCATTAAATTTTAAAAATATATATCCATCCTCTTATATATCGTCACTGATGAGATCTGACATAATTTTAGTAATAATATCAATTTAGTACACATGAAAGAATTAAGAAGAATTTATCTCTTTTTTTTATTAACATGAGTAAGATTTTATTATTAAAAAATTATGTATAACATAAATTTTATACATTTCTATAATATTTAGTAAAATCATGTTAATAATAATACTATTAAAACTAATAAAATTGTAAAAATTATTTACTTCATATATAAAATTTTTTGATACAAAGGAGTTTAAAAGGCTGATAATTGCATCATGTGATAAATCATTCAAGTTATATTTTGTTCTACAAAGATTATATTAAAAAGCAATATAAATACAAACCTTTTAAGCATTGAATTTGATATAAAATTTGGTGATATAATATTAACAGCCCATGATACATCATTTAAAAGCTTCTTATTCATATGATTAAATAATTTAGTCCTAGTCTCAGCAGTTAATTTTTTAGAATCTATAAATAATAATTCTTCATTAATATTCAAATATATATTAAATAATTACCTTTAAATCCTATACTAGATAAATTATCCAAATAAATAACAGGAGTAGTTGCTAAAGAATACACTAAGGGACCTTATAATATTTTTTATTTATTAATCAAAAATATGTCATACCAAGAACAGGGCCCCTGCCAGCCTCATCAATTCCAGCAATAATATTATTTTGGTTGTTTTTTTGAATATATTGATCAAATAGACAATTATTTAAATTATTCAAAAAGAAAGATTCTAAAAATTGAAATACCATCTCATGATTTTAGTAGTTTACAACAATGACGTCATTGGTTTACAAATCGAAATTATTTGGAAATAGCGGGTCAAGCTAATCGTAAGTAAGACACTTGGTAGAAAAGTTTCGTCCATTTCTTATCTTATATAATCATAAATATAAAAATTCAAAAGGTGTCACACAACATCTCAATCCAAATATTGTTTAAAGTAAACATTATCAATCTATGAAATTTTTAGACATACTAATTTTATCAGTTTTTTTTTATTATAACGGATATGTTAAAAACCTTTTCTTTCAATATATTTTAAATCAAAAATGGCATATATCAATTAATAGTATTTTCTTTAAGATAAAATGAATAAAAATCAAGAAATACTTAATATTTACAATCTCAGGAATATCAATTATTTGAAAATAATTTATTAAAGAGTAAAGTATGGGATAATTTTAGTATAATAATTGATAAACATAATCAAGAAATTGGATTTGTTTAGTGTAAAAAATGTTACCTAATCATGGATAGGGTCTTTATATTTATCTAGACATAAATGCAAATCAAATCGATAATAAAATTTTCTTCTTCTTATTCAATTAAAAATGATAAAGTTAAAAATAATAATTGTTGATAATATTATTTTTATATAATAATTTAAAATTATAGATTAAATTTTATTTATATCATTTTTGTTTATTATATAATAACAATAAAATATTATATTTCTATTAGTATTACTCCAGCTTAAGTTATTATTTTGACTAAAATCGACATAACTCGGGCTTTTTAACAATACTAACTTTGACCGGGCTTGGGGATTTTTTTATAAACTTATAGCGGGTTTGAGGAATTTTTTTTTAAAATATTAAATGCAAGTCAGGCTGGGCTAAAAAAAATTTTACGGTGGGCCTGCCAAGCCTGATAAAATAAAGGCCCATGCAGGTCTCTGATTCACATATATAATAAATATTTTTATCTTATTATAGATACTTTAAGACAACATATGTTACTTAAGCTTAAATCATTATAACGTCTACTACTCCCATATGCATTCATTATAAACCGCAAATTTAGTGAGATACTTGGATACATAAATCCCAACATTAAGGTTATTTCACAAATATTTAAAACAATTACAAATTATCTCAATAAAAAAGACATCTTATATTCAGGCTGACTAAATTGTCAAGAAAACTGATCATAACAGATTTATACAATTCTGCTCAAAAACCATATATATCTCTATAAGTAGTCACAATGAATCTAGGAAAATAATAAAACGTATTAATTATATATTTAATGAACACCAATGATATACATAACTGTAGATTGGCGATCATGCATAAAAAAATGTCCACACATTGAAATCAGCTGTAGCGCCATTTTGTAGCTTGTACGTTGATCGAATGCTTCAATAATAATAATATATTTTTAAAAATTTAACAATTTTATATCTAATAATTTGATTGATGAACACTTATTATTACACAAATACTTATTATATTTTTACTTATTTAATCTTGAGAAAATATAAAACCTAGTTATTGTTTTAATATGCATAAAAGATTTTTGGTTAAAGTTTTTTTGTTTATATAGTTAAAATTTGAATAATTATTTGGGTTCATTGTATAATAAAGTTTTAATTAAAATTTGATCAGACGATAGTTATATAATCAGACAATGATATGATGCAATTTATAATTTTTGTAATCAGACGATTGTTATTAAACAATTTATAATTTTTGTAATCAGACGATTGTTATTAAACAATTTATAATTTTTGTAATTGTTGTGATGACCAAATTGATCGCTATCTATTAACTAATCGCGATCTATTAAATAAGGATTTATTTTTTTTATTCTTTATATTAAATTAACTTTAACCTCGCGGACTCGTTTTATAAAATTAACTCAATAATTCGACATAAATTACTTGATAGATTTTGTAAACTATATAAACTTAGAAAATTATTATACTTACCAGTTAAAAAATATTTTTAAAATAAATTTATTAAATAAAGTTAAATGTCTGTTTCTCATTTTTTGCCAACCATAATATGATGGCAACAGCTATCTTTGTAAATTAAAATTTTATTAAAATATTTTCTAAAAATAAATTAATTAAATTATAAAAAAAAACAAGAATAAAATTTTTTTAAAATTAATTAAATATGATGGAAGATAAAAAAATTAATGCTTCTAATGATACTATGTCATATAAATACGAATTTCCTAAATATATAGGAAACATCGATATATATTTAACCAAAATTGAACTTATTTTTTTAAAAAATAACAGCACAGATGAGGATAACGCCACGACCTTACTTCATAATTTACCTGATGACGTATTTTCAAAATTACAATCGATATGCACTGAATCCGATCTCAAGAAATTGTCGATACTCATCAACAAACTTAGATTATTAGAGCCTTCCAAGATTCAAAACAAAAAAATTAGCGAATTCAATACAGCGGTTCAAAAAGAGAGAGAAAGTTTTTAAGATTGGGTTACCCGTATATGTCAACTCAGTATGGACTGCAACTTTATCGGTTACGACAGGGTTTTAGAAAAAATAAAGGTATCAAGCTCTTCTAAGGCAATTAAATACAGAATTAAAGATTTACTCATTTTAGACGACATTATAAAGGTAGGCAAAGAATTAGACGAAACTGACATCGAAACATCTATACATAAGATTGTTATCAAAGAAAATACACACTCCGATCTAAAACATTTGGAAGGAGCAAGACAAGGTAAGAAAGTTTATGAACTAAAACCAACTAATATTAGTTATGACAACTCCCAGATGATGCCATATGTTGAGAGCAACAGATATCATGATAATAATTACAGCCATCAGTTTAGACAACCATGGCAGACTCGACCATATTATGGCAATATAAGATTAAACAACCAAAATAACTATCATTTTCCAAGACGAAATTATGATAGATTTTGTGATCAAAATAGATGGGAAACTTCTTATATTCCTTTCAATAATCACGACACAAGAGATAACAATAATAATAGATTTAATATTAACAACAAAGGACATAATAATAATTATAAGCCTTTTAATGATTTCAAAAACTACAACAGATTTGACAACACCAGACAACTGTTTCAAAATTTTAGAGATTATAATTGATCTAACGTGCATCAAATTTTACGAAAATTACATGAATCATAATCCTAGACACCAAGTACCTTATTCAAATAAAATTAATACAGTTGATATAGAAGAGATCGAAGACGACAAAATCATATCAATCGATAAGAAAGATTATGATTTGTTAAATATTGATATAAATAACGTAGAAAACGAAGTACTAAATGTTTAAGATGACGCATACATGGTGAACATCAAAATTAATAACATCTTGACTTCACTACAAGTGGATACGGGCACGAAATTCACAATTCTACCAAAATATATGATTGAGAAAGTGGGCACAAAAAACATTACGAAGTCCAACATTCAGTTATCTGGTTACGACGGCAAGACCATACAAGTGATAGGCTCAACACGATTAAATGTAGAATACGAAGGAAGTTCTCAAATTTTAGATGCATTGATAGTAAACAGTAACAAGATGTTTTTATTAGGAAGATCTTGGTTAAAACATTTTAAAAACATACTTGAAAAATTTATAGGCTTAATTGACACGGATCATAAAGATGATCTGGCGGAATTAATATCCAATTGTAAGTCTAAATTAAATAATAAACCTGTCATAAAAACGCAAGTCAGATTACGACTAAAGTCAAATGCTAAACCAAAAATTATATCACCGAGAAGGGTACCTTATTCTAAAGTAGATATTATAACTAAAGAATTAAATACCTAGCTGGAAAACAAGATCATCGAGCCGGTAAAAGATGTTAGATGGGCGAGTCCACTCACACCAGTTTTTAAAAACAATGGGAGTCTCAGATTGTGCGCCGGCTTTAAAAACACAGTTAACCCAGCGTTTGAAGATTTCAAATACCCCATACCTAGAATTAACGATTTGATCGCCAAGTTAGCTTGAGGAAAAAGATTTAGTAAAATTGATTTAAACAAGCCTTCCTGCAAATTCCTATTCACAAAGACTCTAGAGATTTGCTAACTATATCCACGCATAAAGGATACTTCAGATTCACGAGACTTCCGTTCGGACTGAAAACATCTTCAGCCATATTCCAACATACTATGGAACAGGTTTTCATAGATTTAAAAGATGTTATATTCTACATTGACGACTTGTTAATTACAGGTGATAACGATGAGATACATTTAGAGAATATTAAAAAAGTATTCGAAATGATCATCAAGTATAAATTAACCCCCAATTTCGATAAAAGTTTATTCCTGCAAGATAAAATACGCTTTTTGGGACATGATATAGACAAACATGGTATACATCCCAACGATGATAAAATAAAAGCAATTATAGATACCGGAACCAAAAAATTCAGAAGAATTATCTACCTTCTTAGGCATGGCGAGCTATTACCGTAAATTTTTAAACAGTTTTGCGGATCTGGCAGATCCACTATATAAAATAATCAACAAAGATAAATGGTCTTGGGATACCCAAGAATGCTATAAATGATTAAAAACTTTAATCATCTAACCTCCCACATTGAACTTTTTTAATCCTGATTTACCCATAGGTATAGCCGCGGATGCATCTAAACGCGGTTTGGGAGCTATTTTATTTCACTTAGAATGGAACGGCAAAGAAAAGCCGATAGCTTTTGCCTCAAGAACCTTACTTAAATCCGAAAGAAATTACACTAACATTGAACGCGAAGCGTTGGCAATTATTTTTGCGATAAAAAGATTTTTAATATCTTATCGGAACTAAATTTACAATCATAACCGATCACAAGCCGTTGATTTATATATTTTCCAAAGGTTTAAAAGAAAATTCATCTATGTCGATGAGGTTGCAGAAGTGGAATATTGTAATGGGAGCTTACGACTTCGAAATACGACATAGAGCGGGTAAACACAACACGGTGCCAGATTGTTTCTCCAGATTTTCATTAACACCTTTAGAAGAAGAAATACACATTA